AAATTTTAAGTGTTAATAATAATTATGATATGGTTTAAAGATACGTGACTCATACGAGTCATGAAATTTATGCTAAGTTATAATAGTACATAAAGTGCTTGTATACAAACATTATAAAGAAACTAAGGGCTTGTTCGTGTAGCTATTTTTACTTAGCTTTTTTTTTGCCAAATGACAAGAAAGTGAGTAACTATCATATGTCTGTATAATGACGCTTCAAGTGAGAAGAATTATTCCGTACTGTGTAGCCTGTTTTTTTCTAAAACCTATATTTATTCAACTTGTTTTTGAAAGTGAAACATTCAGCAATCGATAATTTAAAAAAAAATGCGAAAATCCAATAAAAAAATTAATAATTTTATTGCAAAAATTAAATGCTCATTAGAAAAACAAAGAATTCTGTTTTGAAAGTGAATGAAAGCTGAGATGAAAAGGCGACATACACGATTAGGCAGTAAATTATTACACAAACAGCGAATTCATAGTTTTACTTTCCAAGATTTTTCTTCATACATTATTTAAGAAATAAAAATCATAAAAATTAATAAACAAAGAAATAAGGCACAATATTCCATACATCTTCATTTCTAAATAAAATCTAACTTTGTTTTTATATTGAGAACCATTTTACAAATTTTAATTTGATGTTTTACAACTATTACTTTATTGTTTTATAACAGTTTTAATATCTTTTAAAAAATTCTTTCCTTTTATAGTCAATTAAGCTAAAAATTATAAAATTGAAAGGTTTTTCTTATAGCTATCTTTAATCTAGCTATAAAAACGTTTCAAACTTTTAAATCAAATGTTTTTTCATTAAAATTAATGACATTTTAGTACACAATGATGTTATATTACATACAAGTATACATACTCGTATATCACATCTTATATGATAAAAACCAAAAAAAAACAAATTAAAATACCCTATAAAAATATACTTTACATAAGTACATATTATACACAATTATGCACATATACATACATAATACATAAATACATACATACATACAAAATATTGTTTCATTCCGTTTGATTTCATGTTTTTAGCTCTAAGCATTTTTCTTAATTTTTTTGCTTCAACTTTCTTATGCTTCCTCAAATTTCGATAACAAAATAAAAAGAAGAACAAAAAAAAAAACAAAAAAAAAGAGAAATTAAGTCATGAATGAACTGAACATAATTAATTGGCTTTTTTCCCTTTTTCGAAAAGAACACTACTGTTGTAGAACAGAAAAGAGTAAATTTCTTAAAATGAATTACTCAAAATTTATACGAATTTCGTTCTCTGTATATACTTAATTGTTCACATAAGAGATACATACTTCAATTGCACAAAGAAACGCGGAAATTATATAAAGGATAAGTAAAAGTAAGAATATAAGAGAAAAAACAACAAAAAAAGAACAAGAAAGGAAAGAAAGGAAGTCAATAACTGAAAGTTGGTTAGTTTTTTCTCTATATTTTACTCTATAAGTCTTTAAGATATTCTTATTTTTGTTATTAAAGAAAAAAAAGCTTCTCATTCACGACTATTTAATTTCATTCCTTTTTACTTGTCCATTTATTTAAAATGAACAAAATCCTTGAGCGAAGGTCCTTCAGTTTTATTTTAGAGCTGTTTGATTCGTTTTCTTGTTTTTTTTTTTGGATTTTTGTTCAGATAACAGCTTGTGTTTAATACAAAAATGAAATTGAATAAAAAACTGAGGAAACAGATAGTTTACATTATACAAACAAATACACATGCAAAAATAGTTAAACTTACACATTTACGTGCAGTACACAAGCATTGAAAAAGAAAATCAAAAAATAAATGATAATAGCAAATGAAGTAGATAGCTGATACACAAAGATAGAAGAGTCTCTTGCTTCTCCTAAAAAAGATGATAAAATTTTTTTTCTTTTACAACTTATCTCAAGCTTTTTTTACTCGACATTAATTTAAAATAATTTTTTTTAAATTTTCATTTTCTTTTTTGTTTTTTTTTTGTTTGTACAATTTTTAGAGTTTTGATTGTGATGCTTGGCAATCAGATAATTTGTGACATGTGAAATGTATGAATGAGCTCAAAACGAATTTCAAAATGAGAATATTACAAACATTTTTCCTATTTTTTTTTTCTATATGAAATAAAAACAAATTAACAGACTTTTGTATATTGTAGATTATTTTTTTTTAAATAGCGTTTTTGTAATTTAAATTTAAAATGAATTTTTTTAATTTTTTTGTTTTTAACGAGAATGCAATTCTGTTCTGAAATGTTCATTTTAAAATACATTCTAACTGACTGATATTTATCTCAACTATTTTAAAAACGAATTTTCTTGTTATTGTAGTTTCAATTAAAAAATCGTTATTCGCATACTCTAACAAAAAAAAACAAATTAACAAAAAACATAGCCACTAATAGTTTCTAAGAAAACTGATCCATGTAAACGTCATTTGTAAAATTTTTGTCTGATAGTTCTTAGTTATTAATTTTCGAAAATTAAAGTAAAAACGTTCATTGTTGGTAGATAATTTTTGGAAAATTTCCGAAATTGTTTTAATGACTACTCTTAGGTGCTGTTTAAATAATATGTAACAAGATCTACCATTAATTTAAGTCTAACAAAGGCCGGGTATCTAAAAATTGTTTGATATCAGACTTTATCTAAAGGCAAGTAATACAAATTACTTTATTCTCAAATTTACTGTCACATTTTATAAAAGTAAAATGGTAACACTTAATTTTTGTTTTGATTTCAATTTTGGGTCTGAGCTTCAACAGCCATTAAATTTTATCGTAGTCTTAGTTTTTTTGTATACGTAAAAAAATTAAGTTTAAATGAAGTATAAATTCACAAACAAACTCATTGTGTCTTCCAGAAATATGCAGTTCCATTTTGATTGATAGTTAATTTTAATCATCCAAAAAATATAAACTTGGAATTTTGAAAAGTATTTGGTTTCGCGTTACAGATATTTTAGATACTGGAATTTTTTAAAAAAAGTATTTGTGATTTCTAGACGTTATAAGGCTATGCATATACAAAATCATGCACGAATGTGTATAATATACGAGCATTAAGTATATATCAAGCTAATCAAATCACCTTTTTATTATTCGCACGTAATTCTTGTATACTTCATAAATACTTGTGAAGTTTCAACCTAAATTTATTATATAATATGTACTAAAAAAAATATTTCTTTTTAATGTAATAAACATGCTTAAAATTCAGGTACATACATAATTACCGATCGCATACAATATGAGAGGTTGTGCGATGGGATCAAATTTTTCATGTCGAGTTTTCGGTGGAACCTGTTTGGCTGTGCAAACCTGTACATCTTAACGCACAAGGAAATAATCAAACAATTTTTTTGAAATTTCATATTTGAAATCTGGCTATTAAAACAAGAAACTGGTAAACTTTTGCTAATGTAAGGTTTTTCGTTTTCTTAAGAACTGATTTTAAATTTTTACCATATCTATTGAACTAATTCATCCTTGGTACTATTCATTTAGTATTTGACTTCTGGTTATTAAAAAAATAAACTGGAAAACTTTTTAGCAAAATCGAGTCACTAAAAATTAGCCCCTATAGTATACTAATAACTTAATTTATTTTATAAATATAGATCAATTACTATCTCATCATTCATAGCATTTAAAGTAAATTTTAAAAGAACAGTTTCGGTCGATAATGTACTGTTCACATCAGATTTTTTTTATTAGGTTGCTACGTTTGAGAAAATAATTTTATTAAGAATGTTCTTTTGAGTTACTTCTTTTTCATTAAAGGAACCTTCAGGTTTTCTACAAAGTAAAAAGGTGAAACTATTTATGCTTTGATTCGTTTGCTTTTACAATTTCTCTTTAGACTATAACATTTTAGTTTTTCGCTCAAAATAAATTTGTAATCTTTTTTTGAAAATTTATGCCCTTAATAGATAAGGTTATTTAATGTGCACTGCTTCCATTTTATAATCTTCTTCTTTTTTACTCTTTCTGAATAATAATCGAATTACTAAAAACTATTTGAGGAGTTTATTTATGATTTTTTAAAATCTTTTACTTAATTTTATAAAAAAAAATTACTCCAATATTTTAATATTAAAATTTGAATCATGCATTTACATTAAAAATACCTATTTAATATACGAATAAGAATTGTAAATTTATGAACTAATTTAACCATGTCTTAGTCATATTGGGGTATTGTCACACATGGTATTATCATTCGAAATTACATATTCAGTACTTTCATAAAACTTCATTTTTATCTAATTAAATTTAAAGGAAATTTATAATACTAACAAAGTTAGGCAATAATTCGAAAGGTAATTTTTTATTTAATTTTCGCAGTATTGTTCTTAACTTCTAGTACTGTGTTTCAATTATGCTCGATTTTTTCTTAACTGTTGTATGGCATACCCCGCACCCAGGAGGGCGGCGCACAATTGATATGTATTCGGGATGCACGGTTGCCCCAGTTGTATAAATCTACAACCTACAATCTATTGCATACAGTTGTTTAATATATAAAATGTAGAAACAAAATTTTTGATAACTCCATCGTATGCCATTGTAGTAAATGTAAATACATATATAATATCTCCTTGATATAGGAAATAACATTTTTTTGTCCATTAATTCTTCTTCTGTTCTAATTTCAGACGAGAAATAAAAATTACATAAACCAAACTAATGAGGTTAAGAGACGAATTAAAGCTAAATCTAATAAATTAATAAAAAAATTAGCAAGCTTCTGATTTTTAACAATAGATATTTCTTTTTTCTCATTGTTATAGAAATACTTTATTTTATATTAGCAATTCGTTAGCAGAATACCATAGTAAAATAAAATTTAATCTATGTAAAGTTTATAAAAAATTTTATTATTATATTCTTCTTTTCTATATTAAAATATTAAATCCTCTTAACAGCGAATCAAATAAATTTTTATTTAACAATTTAATTTTCTTTTCTGTTTTCTTTTTATCTTTACAGGATATATTTCATCTTCATATCAAAGAAACCTATATATACATACACTAAATTATATAGAGGATCATCGTCTAGTTAAAACAATAAATTAAAAATATTATTTTTAATATATTTTAAGTAAAAGAAGAAGAGAAGAAAAACGGCGCCACTTTAATATCATTAAAGCAAAAATTAAAGGATTAATATATATACAGACAAAAATAGTACATCAGATTATAATTTATTTTTATTTAAACTAATTTATAACTATAACATATTTATATATATGACGTGATTTCAATAGAAAAATTTTAATAGTGCACTATGTACAGGACGATACTAGTCATACTTTTAGGATTTTTAACAGTTAATTTAAATAGAGCCAGTGTACAAGTACCGCAACCCGATGATGATGATATACCGTTACGTGGTGCTGATAATGAAAAATTAGATCAAATAAAATTACCAAAAGATCAAGTCGCATTAGTTCGTTTACCATCAAATACATTATTAAAATATACAGCATATAAGGATGTTTCAATATTACATTTTAGAATACCACCAGATACTAGAACAGCATTATTTACATTTAAAGCATATGAGGAATCCAAGAGTGCCTTTCGTAAGTATAAAATATTCTTTTTAAACAATTTTATGTTAAAAAAAATTTTATTTTTTAAGTTACCTTTAATCACAAATTTTATTATGTCGTTAAAATAGTTTCTGGCCGTATGTATATTATGTACATACACATGAGTTCACGTTATACTTTTGAATTTAAATTATATGTATATATGTATATCAACGTGATACAAATGATGAAATAGTATAATAAACCGCCGAAACTATATTAAACATGAATTACCCTATATTGGGCTTCCCAATCTATAACTCAATCTAGTAATATCATGACTATAGCACATTAATTTTTTCTTAATAAATGTCTAATATTTTTGAATTAAGTTTCATGGTTCGGTTTTATAGTTTTCAAAGCTAAAAATGTTAGTCAATTTCCTTCTAAACTAAAATGCCCAATCAATACAATGCACTTATGTGCACTATTTTTTATTATTATCATTATTTATTTCACTATTTTAAAATATTACTGAGCTCCAATTTCAACAAAAATAATTCAATTTTACATCTGTCCAATAATAGTTAATTAAGTTAAACCTTAACTTTTTTATAGCCATGTAAGAGGTCAAAATATAGATAAATATTGTTATCAAGTATAGCAATATTTTTATTTTATTGTAACAAAACATTTCATGTGAAATAAATCATGTTATAACAGTCAATATTAATGCTGCAGATCTTTAGTTGTAAAAACCAATAAAAATTTTATATTTCAATAATAATGCATTATTGAAAAATGAATTCATTCATCAAAAAATTAACAAAACCATTTGCACAAAGAAAAAGCAAATAATACATCGTGTATTTTATCAAAAATTTTTAAATATGAATGAATCACGAATCATTTATGAACTGACCTTTACTATGATTTTCGTTGAAATTTTGACATATATTGATTAATTTATAATAAAATATAAAAATATTTTTTTTTCTCTTCTTTTCATTAATTATCACCAAAACATTAATTATTTTTGTATTTTTTTAAAATGAAAAATTGACAATTAAAATATTCATTCGCCGCATCAACATATCGTTTTATAAAATTTACGTCATAAAACCCATATACTCTATAATATAGTGTATATACACTATATCAACAAGGTATAATGTTAATTCAACCGGTAGCCCTGTAATTTAGACTAAATTTATTTTGTTAAAATTTCATGATGTCACAAATTAAAATTGTAAATCCATTAAAAAAAAAACCAAAAATTAAACATAACCTTGAATAATTTTTTTTTTTTACATTAACGCAGTAATCACACTTGAAGGCGTTAAAGATATTACCGACCATATAACCGATTAATACTAGACTTCATTTAATATTTTAAATAATAAGTAAGTAACTAAAATGACAAGTCTAAAGCTAAAAATATAAAGCCGTTTGAATATACATATACATTCATGTAATACTCATGTATACATACAAAATGTATATTAAAACAAAATTAACAAGAAATTTGAATTTATTATTTGTAAAGAAAAATATAGATTTAGCCGTATAGAAATTTTATGATTGTGAGAAAAATTTTTGTTTATAACCTAAAGCAAGTAAACAAAAAAGTATTTTAGTTGATCTGATTAGTAATACGAGTAGGTAGCGACCAAAGGTATAAGATTCGTGAAAAATTTTTTGAAAAGCCTTCATATTATTTTTTGTACAATGCCTTGGATATTAACTTCTGAACTTCTATTCTTGGAGAAATTGATTTTATTTCAACCACAAATTAAAGCTATTCGTAATGGTCTTTCCACCAAAAATTTTTAGTATGTCTTTATTTCTTTTATTTAATATTGGACAATTTTTTTTTGAGTAGCTCACAATTTATTTTGCGTCAATTAATATTTCTTGAATTTGCTCAAAATGGGTTTCGTAATTCTCAGGGCGTGTCCCTTCATCTCTCACTGTGCTCAATCTTTTAATGCCCGTTTGTGAAGTTGTGCCCGCACACTTTAATTGGAAACCATTGACTAACTTATATTATACAGCTAACCACCCCCACACGAACTATTCATTGAAAGCATGAGAAACTTTAATTTATTTGTGAATGCATTCATAAATTTTTTTTGGAAAAGTTCTCACCTAACTTACCATAAGGGAAACTCTATTATTTATACTAATTTTTGATATTTTAAACGAAAAGTACTAAAGCGTATACTAAAGCTTTTTTGAGTTTTTTGCATACATTAATGTGTATGTATTTAGATGTATATGTAAATAAGCAATATACAAAAATAATTTATTAAAATTGGTTTTTAAGTGTTACAAACACAAGTTTTAGAAAAAATTTAGAAGAAGTTGTAACAATATTCAGAGTAAGATTAACTGTAAGGTCGTTTTTAGTCTATTGAATAAAGTGTTTTAGTGAATATTAACTATAAATAGTGTAAGATTCTTCAAATTTAGTATTAATCTATAGTCTATTCGTCTTTAGTTAACATCGTAGTTTAATTTACTCTTATTAAAATGGTAAAGTTGAAAATTTTAACATTTAATAAAGAAATAAAATTCTAAACTCTACAATAAATTATTTAATTAACAGAAATTATTGTCAGTCACTTTGGCTTTAGTTGGCATTGTTACATGTGATGTATCACATTTAAATACCGAATACTTACCTCCAACATCAGGATCTATTTCACCTCTAAATTCAATAAATCAGGAATATTTACCACCAACATCAATTGGATCATCATTGATTTCTTCTCCAGGTCCCGCACAACTGTCACTTGCAGGTCCACCTCAACTTTCAATTCCTGCACCAGCTCCTGTTAATCAAGAATATTTACCACCATCATCGTCTTCAATTTCAGGATCTATACAAGGACCGATTTCACTTTCAGGACCTATTCAAGCACCAATTTCACTTCCTGGGCCAATACAAGCACCAATTTCTCTTCCTATATCGCATCCATCATCTATTCAAGCACCAATTTCTATTCAAGAACCTATTTCAGCACCAATTCCCCAACAAATAGCACCTTCAATAAATCAAGACTATTTACCACCATCAGGTCCATCCAACCTACAACAAGAAAGTGCTATTTTAGCTGATGACGGATATCATTATAGAGCTGTTAAACGTTATAGATTTAGATATCGTTTCTAAATTGAACTTTCAAATGTGATAAGAAGTTCGTGATCGCCATAACATCGTAAAAGCATATACATATGTATTTCTTATTATACGATAAACTTGTATACTAATATTAATATGTAAATTTTATTGCAAACTGTAGACATTTTTATACCAAATAAACAAATATTAAAAAACAGTTTTACGTTAATATTATTTTCATGTGAATTAGTCTTTTTAATAATTTTGGTAGTGGAATATTTATTGGAAACCATTTTTCGCATAAACTCAATACCAAACATTCTCGCATTTATATCATCGTACTTCTACAATTTAATATAAATGATATATTTATATCATTTATATTAAATTGTAGAAGTCTTTTCCTTAAAATACCATCTTAAATTTATTAAAGAGCAAATAAAGTTTTTAAAATATTGAATTCGGAGTAAAGAAAAAGCTGGTAATTTTTATAGAAGTTCAGAAAAGAACATTGTGCTCCTTGTTCACTCAAATATTTTGGAACAGAACTACAATTATCATATGATCATATTAAATTGTCTGATATTTTCGTTTTCGCCAATATTTTATAGCAAACTGTGTATAAAACAAATTTATCCAGTACAATTTGCTGCTTTCCTTTTTATGTAAACCCGAGCCAAATTTATGTGTGTACATGAAGAAGATATTTGTATAAATAGGGTATTATTTACAAAATTTAATAAAAATACCTTAAAATGTAACAAACCAAATTAAACAAAAAATTCAGTGACATAATTTAAAATTTTATATCATCAAATATCGAATACGAGTATATTGAATAAATTAAATTATATAAACTTTGGATATTATATTTAATGATATTCAAATTCATATTTCTCAAAATTCATTTATTTTCTCTCTATAATATTATATTTCCCTATTGTTATTTTCTATTTTATGTAAAAATATTTACAATATTTGTAAGATATTTAAAAAAAAAAACAATTTTCGTTTACAGAATAATACTATAAATACAAAAAATATAATCATGAATAAATCACAATATTAAAAATATTATAAAAATAGAAAATTCCTTAATTTAATCACTGAAGAGGACAAAAACAAAATAAAAAGGACATTAAAATTCAATCAAAAATATTTACAATTTTCAAAAATGAAAATTTTCTCTCCAAAGAAAACGCAAATCAAAATTTTCAATTAAAAATCCAATTTTTATTGTATAACCAAACAAAAAGGAAATTTTCATTTTGAATATTCTATTTCAGTTTTCAATATAATCCCTTTATTAAAGTAGAAAATTCAAAATAGGTACTTTGCAATTCATATTTTATATAGAGTAGGTATATATGGGTTTAATTAATTTTATTTTATAATATAAATTGTATGGCAATTAAGAAATATTTTGTATCATGGTTTGAACTAATAAAAGTTTTTAAAAAATTAATTTTTCTTAAGCAACAGGTAAACTTTCAAAATTATTAAAATTGGAATTTCAATGAGAGTAGAAAACTTTTCTATATACATTTTCATTGCAATATATTTTATATAAAAATATATTATTATAATATAATTAAAAAGAAAATTATTATAAAGAGTTTGTTCTCGTGAAAAATTACAAAGCGCGACAACTGGATACACGAAAATTTAAAAGCAAAACTATTATTTAAGTATAATTTCAATTAAATAAATTTCAGAAGCGGATTTATTTTCTGGTATTGTGGGTTCTTGTAAAGTAACTTAACTATAACTTAAAAGTAATGTTAAATTAAAACAGATAACGCAGTGATTATAAACAAATAATCTGACCCCCACATCAAAATCTGAGCATTAAATTTGACTCAAGCCCTAAAATACGAGCTTAGTTCATAACATCGAAAACAATAATAACTAGTTCCGCACCTATACTACAGTTTTTTGATTTCTTAGCTGAAATGTACATCATATGACAAAATCAGATGAATAACAACGTTACTTTTAATTAGTTTTCAGTTTAATTATACCACCATAAATACATGAAAAAATTGCGACTATTTATAATTTATATGTCTGTAATAATATTTTGGGCGCAAAAAAATTAATTTAAGAAAAATTCTATTATTACAACCACATAACACATTTAACTCATAAATTAACACATAACATGAATAATTTTGATAATAAAAACCCAATATAAGAAAATTCTTTAAATTTCATAAATACTCCTGAAATTCTTATTCCAAATTCAATCTTTTCACTCTTTCTTTTCTCAAAAATAAATTAATATACTTTACTTTCATATTAACTCGTTTACATTGTGTGTACATACATATGTGTAACAAGATATATATATTCATTTGCTTTTACTTACATTAAATTGTAAACACTTGTGCATTAAAACGTATCAATATTCATCCTCGTGATATTTTCATATATCTTCCTTTTTTTTCTCTCTTTTATACCAGAAATTTAAGGTATTTGCAAAAATAAATCTGAACAAACTGGTAATCCTTGTTGACGTTCTTGATAAGAAAGTTCTTTTTTTTCAATATTAATTTGTGAAATAAAAAGGAAAAAGAATGAACAAGAACAGAAAAATAAGCAAAATTTTCAATTGATGGTCGAGTTGCCAATTTTAAATTTCAATAAATTATAAAATTATGTTTATTCTTCAGTATTTTCTTATTTTTAGATTTTTTAAGCAGACGCTTTAAGTGTTATGCAGAAAAAAATAAATTTATAATACATGATTATCAAACAGGACTAAATGTTTTTGCATGAAGATGGAACCCTCTATAATAGAACAAATTTAAACACACGAAAACAAAGCCATCAGGCAAAATATTCTTGGAAAGGTTTCGACAGAAGTAAAGACTCTGCACATCAACATTTTCGTATCTATCCTATGATAACTCTGAAAATGATCCTTGAAATTAAAACAAGCTCTTAAAAATGTAAGGCAGACTCACTTTCTTTATTTTAAAAATGAAGATATTAAATGTACCTCCAATTTTATTTTTACAAATTAATTCTGGCTGGAACCATGAAATGAAAAATAATATACTCATTTTAATATATTTTTATTTTACTACTGGCAACTCTATTGCATAATTTAAGCATTTCGTATTATTTATTAATAACATTCTTTTCCTTTTTAACATTTAATTGAATTCCTACTTTGAAAATTATTATACTCCATTCCATACTTCTTTTGATGATGTCCAAATTGGGCAAAAGGAAGAAGAAAAATTTCTAATATAAGCGTAAAATTTTAAAAAGGGAGCTACTTAATTAATAATCTTATAGCTAAAAAAATAAAAACTTGACTGTTTTAATGATTGAAGTATTTTATTATGGATAAAGAAATCTTCAAAAAAAAAATTCTATTATTTTTCATGATCAACTTAAAAAGTCTTAAATCTCAATTTATAAACATTAATTTTTTCCCGTATTTTTGCTCTTCTTAGCTTTTATGTTTTTTTATCCTCACTTTTTATACCCTGCACTTCGTGAAGGGTATATTAACTTTGGTATGGAGTTTGTAACTACTTGAAGGAGTCATCTGCGGTATGGACATATATATATATTCTTGCTCAGCGTAAAATTCTGCGTTGATTTAGACATGTCCGTCCGTCCGTCCGTCCGTCCGTCCGTCCGTCCGTCCGTCCGTCCGTCCGTCCGTCCGTCCGTCCGATCGCACGATAACTCAAAAACGAATAATACAATCGACACCAAACTTTCACAAGTTGCTTCTTTTGTGCCAAGGACGAACCCTATTGTTATTGGACCAATTCGGACAACGGGTTCGGGTAGCTGCCATACAACTCAAAGAGTTTATTTTAAATATTTCGAAAACTAATAAAGCTATAAATATAAAATTTTGTATACATGTGTCCAATTATATTCTACATATGCTCTAAAAATTTTAATGGAATAGCTGCACCGGTTTGGGTGGCTGCCATACAACTCCAAAAGCAAATTTTTTATATTCGGCAAAATAATAAAGTCAGATTCATGAAACTTGGCAGTCATGTGCCCAATTATAGGTCAGATATATTTCTGAAGTTTTAGTGGAGTTGCTTGACAGGTTCGGGTGCCTGCCATACAACTCCAGAAGCTAATTTTAAATATTTGGAAGAATAATCAAGTCAGATTCATGAAACTTGGCAGTCGTGTGTCCAATTATAGGTCAAAGATATTTCTGAAGTTTTGGTGGAATTGCTTGACAGGTTCGAGTAGCTCCCATACAAGTCCAAAAGCTTATTTTAAATATTTGGAAAAATAAAAGAGTTAGATTCATGAAACTTGGCAGTTGTGTGTCCAATTATAGATCAGATATATTTGCGAAGTTTTAGTGGAATTGCTTGACAGGTTCGGGTAGCTGCCATACAACTCAAAGAGTTTATTTTAAATTTTTCAAAAACTAATAAAGGTACAAATACAAAATTTTGTATACATGTGTCCAATTATATTCTACATATGCTCTAAAAATTTTAATGGGATAGCTGCACCGGTTCGAGTGGCTGCCATACAACTCCAAAAGCAAATTTTTTATATTCGGCAAAATAATCAAGTCAGATTCATGAAACTTGGCAGTCGTGTGTCCAATTATAGGTCAAACATATTTCTGAAGTGTTGGTGGGATTGCTTGACAGGTTCGAGTGGCTTCCATACAAGCCAAAAAGCTTATTTTAAATATTTGGAAAAATAATAAAGTCAGATTCATGAAACTTGGCAGTTGTGTGTCCAGTTATAGGTCAGACATATCCGTGAAGTTTCTATAGAATGATTTCACAGGTTTGAGTAATTGCCATACAACAACGAAAGGTGCAGGGTATAATTCAATCGGTTTATACCGACTGAAACGTTTTTACTTGTTTTACCGTCATTTCTCTTCTTGCATTTTACACATTTTGAATATTATAAATGATGTTTACTTTAAGGCTTGAATTGAATACACATCAAAGAAGTTCAGAAAAAAATTTTTTTTTTTTTTCAAAAAAAAATCTAAATATAAAATACATAAGTATTTCGTTTGCCCTCATGTAGCATAAAAGGAAAATTTCCGAGGAAAAAAAATTCTAATATTACGTGGAATAAAATCGCCTAAAACCCTTAAAAAAACATTTGAAAAATAAATAATCTAACATAAGCTAACATGGAATAAATAAATGAATTTATTATTTTAAATTTCTTTGAAATAATTTACATATACATAGCAGCACCTACTAAAAAATTAACTATGTAAATTTATCTTTGTAAATTTAGTATTATGCTTTTGGAAAATGATGAAAAACTATATATTCATATCGTATTATTTGTACATAAAAGATGAAAAATAAAAAAAAATCTTTATTTAAAGAAACATCATTCGCACACCCATCTTGATGACACATGTACATAGACATGATAAATAGACTAACATAAAAATTTCGCCTCGAACATGCTTTTTGCTTAGAAAAATTAAAAAAATATCAGTTTTATCACAGCATAGGGCTGGTGCACGATATTGTAGATAACCATGAACACCAGTTTCTTACATCATAGAGTTTACTAGGTAGGTGACGAGCCTACCGTACTTTTATATTAAATATTTAATCTTATTGATATTTACTATTTCATTTTGCTTTTATTTTTAATATTGGATATTATTGAAATATGGCAATTAGTTAATTTGTATAATATGTTTGATGTAATGTGTATAAAGCTGGGCTTTGAACCCGAGATCCTTCTGCTAAAAGACCAAAATGCTTTGTAATGTCTAATTTTCTTTGATTATGATGTGTACATAAACACTCAATACTTAAAACTATAAAAAAAACTAATTAATTATTATTTTATTTATTAATTAAATACCAATTTTTAATAATTATTTTTTCGAAAGATTGTATATTAAAATAGTCTCGTGTTATTCGCAATTTGTTTTAGCCTTTCACACAATATTTTTCTATAAAATTTTCATTAAATACAATTTATTTCGTTTTTTATCGACTATAATCACATATATATTTGTCTTAATATTTAAAAAGAAATAATTAAAAATTTTATATTGCAGAGAGAGTATGCCAGCCACGTGACGTAACATTACACTTAAAAGCGGGTAGTTATCCTGTGATAAGTCCTGAAAATATAACATTCCCTAGAAATTTTTTAAGTGCCGATCAAAGGTTTGTATATGAAAATAAATTTTTTTGCTATTTTTTATTTGAATTTAAAAATATTAAAATTATTCTTGATTATTAAAAATAATTATCAATATTTCACTCTCATTTATCCATGAAATAGTAAAAGCAACTGTACCAATACTTCTTTGTTTTCTATAAATAAATTATATTCACCCACACACTAAAATTATATTATGCAGTAAATAAGCGTTAACGTTATAGTAGTATTCGATATTAAATTAAGCGTAAGAAAAAATATGTACAAATACCGATGGGAAAACATTATTTACCGTTAGTTTTTTTTTTTAATGAGAATTTCTGTATAGGAAGAGCTATACAGTTTCAGAAAAATAAATACCCGAAAAATTTAATTTTTCCGATTATAAGAGACAGTAACTTGGAAGCGACCGAAAGTCAAAATTTATTTTGTTCCAGCATAAAAATTTATTAATTCTTATTAACTGGTATAATTTTTGAGTTCTATATATCTCAATATCTCACCGTCTAAGAAATAAGCCATGTCAAAAATTCGAAAAAAGACAGACTTCAGGTAACGCCTACAATTTTGATGACGAAATTGTCCTAGTTATGTTTTCCTATGCTGTTTCACAGTAGAGAAATGTAAATCTCTAAATTTTGATATTTGTGAAATTTAAAAAATTTTGTGATTTCGATACAATAATCATTCAGAAAAGAGCTTTTTCCGGATTTCGAGGGCCCGTAATTTCAAGTCGAACAGAGTTCAATTAACCAGCATATGTACTAAAATTTTACAATAAAGTAATCACTCAATTTAAAAAGAAAGAATATGGGAAAATTAGTCAAATAATTATTATTTTTTTGTATACATATTAAAAATTAGAAAAATTTAAGAAAAACACTGTAAGTGAAATAAAAGGAAAACACTATAAGTAGTGTAAGGAAAACACATTTTTTTTTTTTAAATTTAGAGACAAACTAACTCAAATATTAATAAATTTTAACATATAAGTCTTAAAATAACACTATTTTTTTTCGTTTTCAAACACGAAAAATTTTAACTTCACTCAAGTTTTCCACTTTATTTACAAAACTATTTATTTTCCATATAATTTATATAGTTTCTTCAAAAGTTCATGAAACAATTAAGAAAACAAAATAAGAATATAAGATAAACAACATTAAGTATTTTTAATTCATTTTCTTCGTAATACCAAAAACTAATAAACCTAAAAACAAACAGCCCCCTGAATACGTAATTTTATCCTTAAGCATAGTAAAAAATAAAAGGAAAAAAAGAAAACGGAAAACTTCTCATATAAGAAAAAATATACACACATAACTATATAAAAAAATATTGTAAAACAAAAAATTATAACCAAAAAATCCGCATCTTTAAAATACAAAATCCATTTAAAATCCAAAAAAAAAAAAAACAAAAACTGAAATTTTCTAAAAGCATGTTCTTATGAAAATATACTCACTCTCTCTAACTGATGGGGTTTAAATTTTTCAGCTTAAAATAACAATAATAAAAATAACAAAGAAACAAAATAAATGCTTTAATGCTTACTTAAACACACAGTCAAATTAAACTATGGATCGTAAATCCTTGGAGGAAAAAACATAATGCAAAAACGAAGAATAATAAAGAAAAATCAGTATGAAAGTAATAAATAAAACATAAAATACAAAATAAACATGTAGCACAATGAGATGACAAGGTATCAACTTTCCACTTCTTTTGTCTCCGATCCCTATATTAATTTCTTTTTAAGATATTTGTAATCTTATAAAGTTTCTGTATTATGCTCATATGTAGTCACATATACATAATATATATGAAGTGTAGATGCCATCTAAAAAGAGAGAATAAAAATAAAAACCAAATTGAACATCGAAAATATGTCGTCTTAAAAGTTTCATTTTTTTTTTCTTTTGCGCTTACTTCTACTTAAATTCATTTACACTTTATCTATCTTGATTTTTTTCTCTTCGTTTTGTTTCTATATACTCTTTAAATGTCCTTGTTTTAGTTTGGCTTTAATAATCCTTTCATATACATATATAAGTACATTCATATGCATACGTATATGGTCTATAATAATCTCATATGTATGTGGAATATAAAATAAATCGCCTAAAAATTTATCCAAGAATTATATATGCATGTACATGTGCATAAACAGTTTAAATATCCTGTTGCTGCGATAAAAAAAAGAATAGGAACAAAACATATGAATGTATATCAAGGATAAAAGCTCCTTTAAAGGATTTTATACAATGAGTAAATAAAAAAATTTTCTCACAAATTTCTTATTCCTCCAGAAAAGAACAGAAAAAAAATAAAAAAAAACCCAACTAGCATTTTTTTGCGATTTCTGAATTTGATGTTATAATAATTACAAATTGTGAAAATTTGAAAGCACTTGCACAAAAGCACAAACAAATAAGAATGTTGTAATTGTGTTGGTGAAGCAAGAAGTCACTAAAACCATCTAAAAAATTCAAGTCCAAAAGTGTATTTTATTATTCAAGAATTTATTACAGTCATAAAAATTTATAACTCTTGTCTATTACTGTTTGTGGTAATAGTAGCCACAGCAAAAAATTTCCTTTCTAACCCTTTTTGCAAGGAGCCTTTTAAAGTAACAATACAATTGTATGCAATCTTAAAAATCCTCTATCACTCAACTTATGCTTTGAATGCCATATGGAAGAAAAATGTATTAACTATAGATCATAATTTACCGTTAGATCATTCAAAACGTTGCATTTGATTGCATTTATCGTTATGCATTCAAAACGTTTTATTTGATAATATTGAAATTCACATCATGAAGAAAGCTTGTTTTTTAAAAAATATTATTAAAAGCGTAAATCTTAAAGAAATAACTTTTTAATTTTCCAAAATCATTGCATACATTTAGGCGACTCATGTAGTATTTTTCCTACAAATTTGCTTTTTTTTTGACAAAATTTTAAATAATTGCCATTAAACTACGCAATAGCAACAATCCTTATCGCACGTTTATCAAATTGGGACCGTTCCACACAATGTTACGATAAAATTAAAAAAATTTTTATTTAAATATCTAATGTGTTTTTGAATGCACATTAAATAAAAGGAACGACTGAAGAATAAAATATAAATTTTAATTTTTTTTCTCTCTCTCATATTGGTTTTATGTCGCAGCTGGCCTATGTATTTAAAAATCTCTACTTCACTTACACATAATATGAATATGAATAAAAATTAATTGAATATATAAAGCAAAAGATTACTAAGCATTGCATTAAAATACACACATTGCATTAAACAGTACATAGATAAAAACAAAATAAGTTTCAAGTCTTCTTTCCATCTTATTAAAACCAAATAAAAACCAGTAAAATAAGCAACATTTGAAATGTAAAAATGAAAAACAATATAAAAGAACAAAAACAAAAAACAAGTATAACAATAAACGATTCGACATGACAATTTTGTTTATGCCAAATTGTAAAGATAACCTGACTATATACCGTTATACAATTTTTTTTTTATCTTTTATTTCTTTTCATTTTCATTTTCCTTTTTGATATTTTTATTTTTCTTCTCTTTATATGCAATGTTTCATTTCTTTTTTTTTTTTTCTTTTATAATATTGTGTCCTTGTCATATGGTATTTTATAACATTTTTTTCCATTTGAAAGATATTGAAGTATCATTTTATATTTATAAATATAAATGTATACTTACGATATATTGCACGACTATGATACACAAACAATATTATACATAAAAAAAAATACTAATATAAATACAATGTCCTCAAAAATTTTAGTCAGAAATAAAAAAAAAAAAAAACAATTTATAATATTCATAATAGGAATGAATTTTTAAGTCACAACAAGGAAAAAATCATATTATTTTATATACACATAGGTATATTGATAAAGCTATAAGAAAACCAGCAATTTAATATTAAATACATTATATATACATATTATATATTATATATAAATATTATATATACATATGTATAAAGCGAAATCACAAACAAAAACGAAATATACTTTTAAGGATATGAAAACGAACCGTATTTATTTGGAACGACATTAAATATATTGGACGTTAAATATATGGCTAAAGTAATAAAGGATATTATTTTTCCATGGGTTTATTTCTTTCTTTTTTCGTTTTGTTTACGGTTTGTGGAAAATTTTTATAAATTTCTTTATAATACATACATATTTGCATATACGAGTATAACATATTGTATATGTTTTTTTTTTTTGAATAATAAATAATAAAAGAATTTCTATTAAAAAAGTAATATTCTTTGAATGCACAAACTCACCTTTTTCAATTTATTAAAATAAAGTTCAAGGACGAAAATATTTTTTTTTTTAAATTAAATCTACAATCAAAGTGATGTGTCAGCAATGAATTAATAAAACAATGCATGAATTGCAATTAATTGATTTATAAATGATTTGTTTTTAAGGCTTTTAAAATCTGGCCACCATATAGTTTTTTAATAGTTTCTGAGATATGATCTGAGGATCATCCTTTTATCCTGCTGTAAATCACTAGGTAACAGAAATTTCGCCATAAAATTTGTATTGCAAATATTGTTGCAGTTTGCTATTGTGGTACCAAACAGCAATATTTTGCAACAGTTTGTTGAAAATATATAATTTTCTTAATAGAGCCGACAGCCAATAAAATTAAAATTATTAATAATTTCAAAATAATTGATTACATTTTAATCTCCGCTTTAACTACAAAATACTTAACTTGCACTGGGATAAAACAGTCGAAGTCAACGTTATGTAAAATAGCGTAAATCAATATTATACCGGATAATCAAAAGATTGTTTGTGATAATTGGAATGTTAAGAATACGCGGGTACATGAAATCAAATTTTTTGTTGTATGATGAAATTTCGTTGAAGATTTCAATTTATATGTAAAATTAATTAAGCATTGCTTGTATTTAAGCATAACTTTAATTTTACTTGTCTCCACTACACTTTTC